TGAAACTTGTTCAGCATCATAACAACATCCAAGTCTCTTGTGACAGATGCATTGGCTGAGAATTGAACCCAGGTCCCCCACACGTTATTGTTAAGTACCATTTAGTAGGTTGCAACCCATAGCGACCCTGTAAAGGGTTTCCTGAGAGCAAGTATCACCACTCACAGAAACAGCATTAGGCAAATCTACTGCACAAAACCTTTTTAAAGTGTTGAAGAGCAAAGATGTCAGGTTGAAGAGCAAAGGTGTACTTGACCCAAGCCATGGTATTTTCAATAACCTCATATGCATGTGAAAGCTGGACAGTGACTAAGGAAGACTGTAGAAGAATTGATGCTTTTGAGTTATGGTGTTGAGGAGAATATTGAAAGTGTTATGGGCTGCCAAAAGAACCAACAGATCTGTGTTGGAAGAAGTGCAGCCAGAGTGCTCCTTGGAGGCCAGGATGGCCAAACTTTGTCTCTCATACTTTGGACATCCTGTCAGGAGGGACCAGTTGCTGGAGAAGGATATCATGTTTGGTAAGGTGGAGGGTCAGAGGAAAAGAGGAAGACCCCCAATACATGGATTGGCAAAGTGGCAGCATCAATGGGCTCAAGTATGGCAAAAATAGTGAGGTTGACCCAGGCTCAGGCAGTGTTTCGTTCTGCTGTGCATAAGTTCGCTATGAATTCATACCGACTCCATGGCACCTAACAACAACAAGAGCAGCTGGTGAGCTTGAACTATCAACCTTGCGGTCCAAACCGATTTTACAGTCCAATGCATTAGCCCACAACACCACACACCAGGACTCCATTCTCCAGCAAGGTGAGAATTCTACCACTGAACCACCACTGTACTAGAACCTAAGACTGATTCTTCTTGTATAAAGACTGGGAAGGGAAGCAGCAACATATCACCCTGGACTCCAGATTGCAAAGCAGGCGTGAAGAGAGCTTTGAGGACCACGCCCCCACTTCCTTTCCTTCTGTCTCAAATAAAGTCATACTCTTTCTTTGTGGTTCTCATTTCCTTTACTGAAAAATACATGAATTGATGAAGCCATTTCTTTCCTATTCACCACTATGTAGGATAAGGACGTGGTTCGGATGTGTGCTACCTTAGAGTCAGCATAGCAGAAGTCAGGTGACTCACTAACTCGGGACCCACCTAACCCCTCTGGGCCATCCTCTTTCAGAGAAGGCCTCTTCAGCTTGCATGACCTTTACTCTACTGACCTGGTAATAAGGGATTTGCCCATCCCTGAGTGTCTTCCTCTCCTGAGGTGCTAACTATTCTAAGGGAAGTGCTATGTTCTCAGGAACTGCCTTCTTCTCAGCTGCAGACATGTGTTCCTGATACTTTATAAGGCAGCATCTAGCCAGTGGCCCTAGTGACACCAGCTCAGCTTCTAACACTAACCAGTCACCTCAACCAGCCTCAGTATCTCTCCATACCAACCACAGTGCCAATCTTCTAGGAAGGAGGCAAAAGTCCCTATCTAACCCAACAGTTTTGTTTATCTCCCCAGTCATAACCCACCAGGGAGCCCATCCCATCCCCATCAGGGGAACAAAGAGCTGAAGAGCCAGGGTGGGTGCAGTGACATCATCAACACAGAGGAGGATTAGAGTATCTATCTTCCCAAAGAAAGAATAATCTCCATTTCCTGTCTTATTACATATACTGTTGGGGTTTTGGGTTTTTTTCTCCTCTCTCTGTGATAGCATATCAGAGCCCATCCTAGAGTTTATTTGAAAACTCCAGCAGAGCACTGTGTCTCTACACACTGAGCTTGCATGGGAAAAATGGGGATCAAGTTTCATCCAGCTGAAAAAGGTCCAAAGATCTTAGTAAAGGGACAGATTTGTCAACATTTCCCTGATGTTTGTCCATCCATCTATCCACCCACCAACCCACCTGCTTATTCATCTACTCACCCATGCACGCACCCACCCATCCATCCATCCATCCATCTATCTATATAACAGTTCTTGAACAACTATTACGTGCAATAAGAAAGCCACTGTCCAAATGGAGTTAATTTCTAATAGGAGGAGCCAGGCAGCAAATAAATAAGTAAATAAACATAGTATTGCAGGATTCACAGTAGCTTAGAGACATGTTATCTTGGAACCAGAAAGACTCTATAAAGGCACAGAGATGGAGAAGGGAAATGAGATTATTAATTTTTTTTTTCTAATAAGGACTAAAGAATCCTCATGTGGAATATTTCTTCCTTCCTAGCATGGATATAATTAAGGGAACATTTTTTACAAATACAAATGCAGTCACCAACCCTTATTTTCATTCTCCGAGGTAATACAGAGCTTGAAGCTCCCAGAGGGGGATCAAGAAGAACTGCATCCTGCAGCTCAGGGATGCCCTGTGTCTTCCCAGTCTGGCATACTGCGCTTGGCCGGCGAATGGGTTAAGGTGGCAGCGCGTGCGCTCTGAGCGCTGCATAAACAGCCCGTCAGGCGTTCTAAGCATGCTTCATCTTCCCTGTCTCCCAGTCCTCCGCTGTCAATCAGCTGTCACCCGCCTGCACATCAGCAGCGTGCTCACATCACCAGGCTGTCAGCGAGGCAGCTGATGAGGCTCGGCTCTGTGTTGTCAATCATCTTTGTTTCTCTTCTCCTCTCAGGAAATATTTTAGCTCAGAGAAACAAAGAAACCCTGGACAACAATAGCTTATCGTCAGAATATAAGATCTCAAATAGGCGCTGATCTTGTCTCATTCCCATATGATGGGGCGATGTGAGGTGGACCAGAAGAAGAAGGAGAGACTGTTTTATTAGTACAGGCTTAAAACTGGTATTCTTGTGCTCTGAGCAGCCCCTCATAGATTCTCGAACTGACAAAGCTCAGGAACAGAAAACAATGGTAACTTGAAGCATATGAGCTTATGCCTCAGAAGAAAACCTCAGGCTCAGAGGACAACTCGCTGCTTGGTTTAGAAATATTCATCATTGATCAGGAAGCCTTTGGGGGAAGAAGTAATTGTTAGAGTGCTCAGTTCACTTGTCTCCCAGGGACTTCTAAAATAGAGGCTTCTGAGCCCATCTCTCCTCCTTTCTGGGACATGAGGTGCCGGCGTAAGCACACCTGTGCCCAGAATTGCAAGCCCACGATGTGGGTTAAAAGTGTTTGCAATGGAGTCCTTACTGAGAACATTAAAAAGCAAAAACCAACATAAAAAAAATGTGTTTCCATCAAATTGATTCCTACTTATAGTGACCGTACAGGACAACCAGAACTGTCCCCCAAAGACTCCCAGGTTGTCATCTTAATGGCAGCAGATTGTAACATCTTTTTCCCTTGGAGCAGCTGATGGGTTGGAACCACTGACCTTTCAGTTAGCAAACAAGCACTTAACCTAACCGTTGTACCATCAGGGTGCCTTTATCCAACACAAAGACAGTCTACAATAGCTTGTTATTTGGCACAGTAGCTACCTCTCTGACTCAAAATATTTTTTTGAAAATGTTCCCCAAACCAATAAGCCAAGCCCATTTGTAGTCCATTCAATTCTGACTCAGGACAACTCTATGTATTACATAAGAGGACTGCTCCGTAAAGTTTGCTTGGCTCTGATTATTACTAAAACCGATTGCCAGGTATTTCTTCTGCAGAACCATTGTTGTTGTTGTTGTTGTTGTTAAGTGCCGCTGAGTCGGTTCCGACCCATAGCGACCCTGTACAGGGTTTCCGAGGGTGTAAATCTTTACGGGAGTAGAAAGCCTCATCTTTCTCCCGCAGAGCGGCTGGTAGTTTTGAACCACTGACCTTAAGGTTCACAGCCCAATTCGTAACCACTACACTACCAGAGAAGAATCATTGGATGGGTTCAAACTGCCAATCTTTAGGTTAAGAGATGAGCACAGTTTGCAATCGCCCAGCGACCTTAGGAATGTTCCCAACTTCTCCTTTGCAGATCTAAAGGGATATAACTGATAGTGAATTTTAATGGGAGAGCAAGTCCGTCTTGTCCTGCTTTAAGGCCACCGCCCTGTGCATCTATTAGCATAATTACCCAGCGAAAATCATAAACCACTCCAAACAGTATTACATTGTATACATTAGCCCAAAACTAAAACAAACCAACGGACTGAAAGACCAATGTGTACGCTGTTGGTTTCTTGAAGGAAACACAAAGTAGTCTGTTGATTGTGTCCATCAAGTGGTTTACTATCAATTGTCAACTATCTGGATTGACTTGTTCATCCATGGCCAGTCCTGTCCTCCTCTCTGTCATGTGACGTCGGAATGTTTTACCCTCTGACAGTTTCTTTCTTACACGCAAGACTGGCCTCTGAGAGAGCATCTCTCTGATCTAAGCAGACATGAACTGCTTTTGTGTGGATGCTTCTCTGCCTCTTGACACTGATGCACAACAAGCAAATCTGATCTCTGACATGTTGACTGAACCTAATTAGGGCAGATCGGCTGCTACCCAAGGCGCCATGGGCTGTAATTTGAGGATCTTTACAGAGTTATCAATCGCCGGAAAGACAAGAAACTATCATTCTGTCAACCCAGATCCCAAACGTGTATAGCCCAGGCAACTGTGCACAGTCCTCGTCTCGAAGAAATGACAGCACTTATCCAATAAATACCAGAGATTATTGATACAAGTGAATTAGGATGGCATGACAAATACAGTGACTCTCAGTCTTCAGGAGCAGAACATTAGTTGGAAAGTGTGCGCAAAGATGGGGCAGGGGTTCCACAAAAAAAGGGATGGATAGCAATCCTATACAGCTCTAATCACTGAGCAACTTGACTCATATTTTCTTCACTTTAGAAGTGTCTAAAAGTCTAAATCTCCAAGAAGCTTCCTCTGAGCAGACATGGACTGCCACCCACTGACAACGATGCAATGGGAAGCGGGAGCTTTGTCAGAAAGGAAAGCATTATTGTCAGACCTCCAGCACTGCGAAATTCTCTTAAGACCCCTGTGGTTCTCTTCCCAGCTTTGAAAGAAGAAATGTTAGGAAAATAAACTTCTCTCTTACTGTATCGCTTTGGTCCGTCTTCCAAACAAAAGGAAAGGGTTAGTGTGGCATCGTCTTCAAAAAACTCCGTGGCAAACGCATCCCACCAGAGGTTGTCACTATCCTGCAAAGAAACACAATGTTTATTTCACAGGTAAGAGCCAGAAAGATTGCAAAGAAGACACAAGAGAGGAAGATGAGCTCATTCAGTACTGTGTTGGGGGATGGCTGGGGTCACCCTCAAATGAGGAAAGAAAGCCAGAGCAATAGTGAGTCAATGCAAATGGAATGATAATTAATTCGAGGACATATTTGGGAAGATTTAATAAACGAACAATGGAACACAATGTGAAATTTTTTGTTTTGCTTTGTTTTTTAGCAAAAGGGTTTGCATCACTTATGAAATACAAGTGCATTCGATTTTTTTTTTCTCTCTCTCTCCTTGCAAGTTCTTTTTTATAAATTAAAGCCACATTGTTGCAACCAGGTTAATGAAAGGATTTTTTTCATTACTATTATTAAAAAAAAGAATTGATTTAGAAAGAATTTGTCTGGGTGGTAGCGCTGCTTGAATATCACTTGTTTACTTTGGACACATCATCTGAACAGACCAATTCTTAGAGAAGGACATCATGGTTGGTAAGGGAGGATCAGCAAACACGAGGGACACTTTCCAGAAGACGGACTGACACAGTAGCCACCAGAATAGAATCAGACATAGATTACCATGAGGTACAGGACTGGAGACAAGGTTTCATTCTATTATAGGACAGGCCTTACAAAAGTTCCTGGACAAGTGAAGTTGAAAGACAAAACAAGTTTTCCACAAACTTTTTGGAAACAACAACAAAAAGAAAAATGCACATATGTTGTTGTGTGTCGTCAAGTCGATTCTGACTCAAAACGACCCTGTATAGAGTTTCCAAGGAGCAGCTGGTGAATTTGAACTGCAGACCTTGCAGTTCAAACTGACCTTGTAGTCCAGTGCATTATCCCACAGTGCCACACCAGGACTCTCTCTCTGTCTCTGTCTCTGTCTAGCGATTTACTAGCTGGACTGCTAACAACTGTTGTTGTTGAGTGTCTTAGAGTTACTTCTGACTCATAGCAACCCTGATAACGTTCAAACCTATCTTGTCATCCAGTTCATTATCCTTAGCTCCACTCCAGATCTCTAGATTCTATTGTAAGCTGTCCATTTGATTCAGACTCACACGACCCTCTAGGACAGAGGAGAACTGCCCACTGAAAAGTCCTAGGCTGTAAGATTTGCTGGAAGGAGCCCTGGGGTACAGTACTGAAGCAATAGGCTGCTAATCTAAAGGTTGGCGCTTTGATCCCACCAAATGCTCTGCATGAGAGAAAGATGTGGCTGTCTGCTTCCAGAAAGGTTTACAGCTGTGGAAACCCAAGGGGGCAGCTGTGATTATAGGTGCGTTGGATCTTCTCCTCAGCTATGAGTAAACTTTACCGGAGCAGATCATTAGGTGTTTTCTTCCATGGAACCACTATGCTGTTGTTTGCCTGTATAGGGTTTCTGAGGAGTGGGCTGGTGGATTTGAACTGCTGACCTTGCAGTTAGCAGTCCAGTGCTTATCCTTCAGCACCACACCAGGACCCCATGGATCCACCAGTGGTTTTCAGTTAGTGCCTAGCACTTTAACTATTTGTACCACGAGGACCCCTTACCTAAATATATATATATATATATTGTTGTTATTGTTGTTAAGTGCCGTCAAGTCGGTTCCGACCCATAGTGACCCTGTACAGGGTTTCCGAGGGTGTAAATCCTT